ATATCAAAGTCGTAATCGTAGTCGCGCGAAAGCGGCTCGCCGATAGCCTTGTTGCCGTTCAGTCAATGTGACCGTCAATGTGCGGGGCGTGGTGCGGTATCTAAAGCTAGGGAGGGGTGGAGAGTGTCCATTCTCGTTACTTTTTGTTCTCTGGAGAGGGTGGTAGACATTTGCTCGGCTAATTGGCGCCCCCTTACTACGTCCAGGAATCAAACGACGAAATTTGGCGAAAAAGACTTGGTTTATTGTACAATAGCTTATAATACAAGTGTGTCCAATAAAAGGGATTCGTCCCGTTGTCGAATGCAAGCGCGACGCAGAATCCGCGACAAGTCCTGGTGGGTGTCCCGAATCCCAAAAACACATTCACTCAGAGGTGTTCTTGTAACCTAACGTCCCGAAAGATGGGCGCGAGTTCGAGATGCTGATTTTAGTAATGAGTTTAACTGTAGAAATGCAATCGTCGATTAATTTCATACAAAATACTGGTGACAGTTCATTACGTTCGGGAAGATCTTAACACAGCGATTCAGAAATTGCGTTTTCTATACTAATGCCATCTAGTGGTAAACATCGGAACTCTTCTAACTAATGTTGCTAAAAGTTTGTTGATGTTATTGTGTTACACTTTTATATATGATTTGATCTTGTAAATACTAACTAATCTTCAGGTCAGTTTGCATTTGTCTCTATACAGGAAATTAATCTGTTTTTTTTCGGATCTGAATCGCGTTTATTCGTTTTTTTAAACAAACCAACAACGTTACGGGCCCCTTACAGTTCCCATGATCATGGCTGAACATCGCTGACTACTATGAGACCATGTCCGGAAACGTTGGTTTGTTTAAAAAAAAATAAATATACGCAATTTAGATCCGAAAAAATAGTTTCATTTCCTAAGTGTAACAATCGCGAAAACCTCGATTTATTTCTATAATTTATCAGTAAAAAATAGGGCGTCCCTATAGGTGCTTTTCCATCGGCGAGGCGAGACGAAACGAGGACTGATATTAGTATGGCAAAATTTCAATTCTCTTCAGTGGAAATGGTCTGGGATTGATGATAATGGGCGACGCGGGAATTGAACTATTGGTTGATGTAATAATGAACCGTATTGTTATAATTATTAATACAAAGATCGAACACTCAGACAAAATTCCTTCGATCCGGCCGGATTCGAACCGACGTCTTCTAGCTTACCGTGCCAGATGCTATACCAACTAAGCCACGGAACGCACCAGCGGACCTCACGAATTTTTCTACGTGCTTGCGTCGTGTCTTTGTATTTGGTTTTTCAACGACCTTTTAGTCGTAGCGCCATCTATGAGAAATCTATGAAAGATTTATCATCCAGTTAGTACCTTTACTGATACCAGTCCTGAGGAGAGATAATAATAATAATAACGCTCACAATCAACATAGCCCCGCACTAGGGAAACCCTGTGTCGCGGGTGCCATGGACACACACATAGACAACCACAAATTACACCCAAACTCACGGGAGAAATATATGTGGGCCATACAAATATTTCTCCCGGCCCGGGAATCGAACCTGGGACCTTTGCGTGGCAGTCCGGCATGGTGACCGTTCGGCCACGGAGGCAGTTAAAGATGTCGCTATTTACTGTATTTAAATTTTTTATTGAATTGATATTCAATTATATTTTGTGAAATTATTCCAATAGTTTGTTATAATTATTAATACAAAGATCGAACACTCGGAAAAAATTCCTTCGATCCGGCCGCATTCGAACCGAGACGTCTTCTAGCTTATCGTGCCATACGCTATACCAACTAAACCACGGAACGAACCAGCGGACCTGATGAACCGTATTGTTGCCTACATTAGTAGGAGTAGAACTCCACATGAAAGAGTTCGCCCAGGGTAATACGATTGTCACCTACTGTTGGGTAATTTTCCGAAAAATTTCAACTACTTAGTGGAAAAGCTTTCCGGAAAAATTCCCGAAAAAATAAATCTTTTGGAGTTTCATTTACTTACCGTGAATTATAAAATAAACTTATATAGCTGTCAGCTTCATACAAGAAAACTGAGATTTAAAATCAATGACTTACAATTATATGGACGTCGGGTCCGCGCTAAAAAGTGTCTTTACTTACACTTACCCTTACACTTGTAAGGCGCTAAAATCGTATACAGAGCGCGACACTCCGCTTTAGTCTTCATTTGTTCTACGGACAGCGCGATACTGCAATGACATAACAATTTAAATTTCGAATAGGTTGACTTGGGACATTTTTTTCGTGGCTTTTGTATTAGACCCGTCGTCCATTTATTTGTAAGTCAATGTTTAAAATGATTGATTTCACAGCTGTGAAAAAACTTCCAACAACCACACCACCACCACCATCTCTTGTTGGCTCCATCGTTTTCGTTCAGTAACTACAACCTTTGACAGGTGTCAATGTCAAATGTGGAAAATGACGGAAAAATATTCACTTTTTAAGAATATCTCTGTGCGAGTGCGGCCTAGAAGACGGTACCTTGGAACACATTTTTTTCAATTGTCTTAATATTGCTGTTCCACTTTATAACTTACTTTCTCCAAAATTCCCCCGCCCCATTAACATAAACAACCTCTTAACTTTAGTGTTCTCCCCCCATATTGTTACTCTATGTAAATTTATCCACTTAAATAACATATATTTATAAATATTGTTTTGCTGTTTTGTTTTACATTCTCAACTGAGTACTCCCGTAGTCCAAGGACATGTGTTGGTAAACACATGTCCTACTAGAGCTTAGCGAAAATTTTTTTTTTTGTTTCGTTTTTTTTCTTTCAACTGTGACATTGGCAAAATCATCAGTTCTCATATTGATGGAGCCATAAAAATAAAAAGTGAAGTGAATATAAAATGTTCTATTACCCAACACTAGAAAAGCGTACTTTGCATAAACAAACATCGATGTCGCATCCAAATGAGTTAAGTTTCTGAACGATCATGAAATGACACTAGTGATGCACGATTTTTTGCTTTGAATCGATTTTTTGAAGTGTAATGGCTCTCTTCGGTTTTGGCCAAAATCATGGAACATCTTCTCAAGAACAGATTAGAGTGGATACTGGAGAGCAGACCCCTCTTTTAGTGAATAGCCTAAATAAATTTTCAAATACCGAAAACTACTACTAGTACAATATAATAAAAACCCAATTTTTTAATTTGATTATGGCTCCTTAATATACCAACCTACTATTCTTCTCAATATCGGCATTGATAAAAACTCTACAAATGCAAACTCAAAATTAGAAAACATAATTAACAAGGATTGGAATAACTGGCTTTGTCTATATACTGACGCTTCTAAATTAGCAGAAGATAATAATGTCGGATCTGCAGTGTGGATCCCCAAGTATAATATATATCAAGGCCTCAGTATTTATGGGTGAAGCGATCGCAAACTTGGAAGCAGTCCTGTACGCCGAAAATCACCACCTAAACAAAACAATCATATCATCGGATTCACTTAGTTGTCTACAAGATATTCGGAAACTTCCCTTCCATGGTAAAGATAATTGTATTTTGAGTCTTAAATTCAAAGATGCTCTATATAGATGCAAACTGGCGGGCATTGAAGTCGTTCTGGCATGGATTCCAGGCCACTGTAGTATTCTGGGGAATGAAACAGCTGACTTGTGTGCCAAGGACGCCACCCGGCTTGGAAATATCACACATTATCAATGCTATACCCGGGACCTCCGTATTTCAGCCAAACCCCAAATATTTAAGACTTGGGACAATTTACTATCTAAAGGCAAACAATTCGGAGACCTTCAACCGGACATACCTCGTCGTCCTTGGTTCTTTAAGCGTAGAAACCTAAGTAAACTGGTAACGTCTATAATTATTCGACTGCGCCTAGGACACATAACTTCACCAGTTTTTTTTGGCCAAGATTAGGGTAAGAGACAATTCCATTTGTGAATGCGGACTGGAGGATCTTTAGGTCTTTAGGACTTTAGATCATATATTTTTCCATTGTACAAAAGAGTCCACCTGTACGACCTGCTTCCTGAAAGTATGCCCCATCCCATTAATCTACCATTTCTTTTGACCCAAGTTCATAGTCCATTTGTAAATACCCTGTCCAAATTTATCCAAATCAACAATATTAAATTATAATTACCTTGTCTATTAAAAACTATTTTCTGTCAAAAATGTAGTTCATATTTATGAACGCATCCCCCTTCTATTTTCTTTTTATATTTATGCATGTGATGTGAATGTCTAAGTTTTTAAAGCACACAAGTTTATATAACGTAATATTTGAATTTGTAAATAGCACCTTTAAAATAGTGTAAGTTGTTTATATTTAATTTATTTTTTTAACTTTCATACTGTAGTAGTTAGTTGTTTTTTTTAATTACATTTAAAACTCTGTAATAATTATAATAATTCATGTTTAGGCTGATGGCTTTGCCAAAGCCTTAATAAATTAAAAAAAAATGAATGTTTAATTTGTGTTTTTGTGTTGTCTCTTTTTAGATTATTATCGTACTCAATTGATATCCAACCGTACATAGTCACACCGATCACACCAACGTAAAAGTGTCTTTTTCAACCCTGACATTGGCAGAATTATCGTGTAAATCGATAGAGCCATTCTAAAAGAATTGGAATTGGAAGTGTAATGCATATATGCCTCTGAACCGAATCGATTCACAGATCCGATCGTATTGTTTCAAAATTAATTTTGATAACAAAAAATAATTTTGACAGTTTTTTTGGCTTCACTTGGTTACAACTTTCATTTAGAGTGTTAATAGCTTAGACTATGGAAACTTTCCATCCTCCAAGTCGGAAAGAGACTGTTTTGTTTAAACTATAAATGCGATCTAGACAATTCGAGTCGCCTTAATGTTGAATCGATTCACTTAAAATAGCATTGAAGTGAATCGATACAAAAAATCGCTAGATCGTATACACTTGAATCGATCTTCATAAAAATCGAATCGTAATGTGCATCCCTAAGCGACACCACCTTTTCAACAAGTATATTTTGGTCTGTTCTGTTGTTATATTTGTTCTCGAACGTTTTACACGCTAAACAGTTTTCCAGGAAGTCCGGTTTTGTTGAATATGTAAATAAAATCAAGTGTTTTCCTTCCAAGTTTACAAATATATAACCATATTTCAGTAAATGAGCATAAATTGGATGAAAACGAGTCGCTACGTTGTGCATACCATATTATCATTGGTTGCAGATTCCTGTCAATGGTTAGTCTAGATAATGCTATATAAAACTTACTTTGGGAAGGGTTATCTTGCATTTCATCGGGTTCGTGACATAAAATGTTTTAATTTGACTTTGAAAAATTTTGTTCGAGTCGGTTCCGAAAAATATTACCTCCGCAATTATTCGCCTTCGCTTAGCTCACAGATGTACTCCTATGTTCTTGGCTAAGATCCGAACTCTACTCAAGTCAGGACTTGAGTATTGCAGTGAGCACTGAAAATCATACTCAAGTCCTTGCCATTAGGGTCGTATTTCCAGTGCTTGAAATTATACTCAAGTCTGCTCAAATCCTGACTTGAGCATTGAGTAGAGTTCTAGAATACGACCCCAAGATCCATGTCTGAGACCACTCCCTGATTGAGTGTGGTCTGGCAGAAGGTTCCCTCGAGCACCTGTTTTTTGACTGTAATAGTAACGTCACTCCTCTGTATGATATCCTCCCACCTTAAATCCCCCATCCTGTTAATATCAACTTCTTCCTAACGTTAGTCCATTCTCCCTTTGTGCATGTGCTGTGTAAATTTATTAAAAAAAAATTTGTTTCTGTAATAGTCCGTGTAGGTTCTCTGTTGTTGTAGATTTTCGATTCTCCTCTCAGTGAGTTCTGTTTAATCCACTGGTAAATTTTTGAGTATGCACGTGTGTCTCAACATGACACTGGTGAAATCATCGATTACTTCGATGGGGCCATAACTTTTAAAAGAAGAAGAAGTAATACCTAGTAATATAATTTGTCGTTCGGGAGACGCGTTTTAGGCATCTAATCAGCTATACCAACAGATCTTAGATTCTTTTAGACTTTTTCGCGGGAAATCATTCTAACTTATGATGGCCATTTATTATTATTATTTGCTTTAATGCCAGTCACTAGGGTTGGGCTACTGTGAAACTCTAAATAAATTCGCTTGATTACAATGACACAATTTAAATATCATGAACAGTGATGGGACAGGATCAGTAAGTCACCAATGTTCTCCAGTCAAGTTTAAAGTAAATAAACGCGTGTGTTCCTTAACTAAATGTAAAAAAGTAAAAGGAAATGTAGAATAAATTTTAAAATTTATTTATGATATTATCATTGATACAAAGATTGAACAAAATACAAAGAAAAATTCCTTAAATCCAATTGCACTTGTACCAGTGTCTTGTTGTCTAAACGTGGTTACCGTTCTCACCGAGTGACCTACAGTTCGAGCCAACAGATCTTACGAATTTCTCTATATGCTGCTTACATATCTTTTTCTGTAGTTCCAACTGTGAGGATTTATGAAAATTTCTTCACTCAGCCAGCTACTTTTTTAGAAGACTGATGAATTTCATCTGGCTGGAGGAAGAATGTCCACTTTTTATTTTCTTTCTGCCCAAGATTTGCTTGTACAAGGTACAATGTTCTGTTAAGGCTCTAGTCAGTATTCTGATGATGATGACTTGAGCTTCTCTATGGTGTTTAGCACTTATAAGACACTTAGAGCTTTTGAATTAAAGTTGTTACTCAAATTTTTTAATCCAAAATTATAGAATAGTTCCTATTGTCCTAAATTACAATTACAACATTATTTATTTTCTCCTCACAAAACTACAGAATGCATTTTACTAATAAGGTACTTAGATTAGTTACATTTGTAGGTGCGTGTGTGTGCGTGCGTGCGAGCGTGCGTGCGTGCATATGTGTGTGTGTATAAATGTGTTTCATTAAATAAAAATTTGTTTCAGGTACCAAGACACTTTGATTTGAATTGCACCACTTAACTCTCAACTTCCCAATTACATGTGATAAACAAGTTAATAAATATTGTCTTATTTGTACAATGACTCATCTAGAAGCACCAATAAATATGAAAATTAAGTATGTTAAGGAGACAGAAGATTTGAAAGGCAATCTTCTGAATACAAATGACGATGTCCATATCAAACAAGAGCCCTTACAAATATTTTTTACGGCAACGCCACAATTAGACACACAACTTGAAAATACCTGCATAAAGGAAGAGGCAGAAGAATTGAATGACAATCTCTTGAACTCTGATCAGGATGGCCACATCAAACAAGATCCTCTACAAATATTTTTTATGACAACACCACAAGTACATACAGAGCTTGAAAATAAATGCACAAAGAAAGAGATGGAAGAGTTGGAAAACATTCCCTTGAATTCACATAAAGATGTCCACATCAAACATGAGCACGTACAAATATTTTCCATGACAACGCCACAACTAGAGACACAGCTTGAAAATAAATGCATAAAGGAAGAGACGGAAGAATTGAAAGACAATACCTTGAACTCAAATAAGGATGTCCACAGTAAACAAGATTCTATTAAGGAAGAACACATCACCGGAGAGCTAAATCTATATGTAGATCATGAAATGACAGAAGAGATGGCCATAGGACCTGTGGTGTTACAGCACACTGGTGCAGCTCAAGCAAGCTGTGTGCGGAACACAACTAATAAGGTAAATGATGATAATTATACTAAAAAGAAACTTATAAGTTTGCAACAAATATTAGTATAAAATGCATACCAATTCCAATTTCCTTATAGTGGCTCCCTCAATTTTAACAATGATTCTGTAATGTTAGGGCTGAAAAAGACACTATTACATTGGTGTTACTCTATGGTTGGATAGCTTGAGATCTTGTTAGAGATGGGAAAAACTGCTTATATTTTTAAACGTTTCAATGTTATGCTTTTTTAGAAAAAGCGTGCTTTTTTAAACGCTTTTTCACTTAAACGCTTGTTAGTTTGAAGCTAACAAAATCGTTTAGAAAACTTTTAAGCGCATAGACTTTTACGTTAAAGAAGCTTGCAACGTTGCGAAAGCAAAAGTAGACCACTAAAGGTTTTAAGATAAGTAAGTTTTTTTGTAAAAAACAAGTTATATTTTTATTTATGACATAACATTTTTATATTAACATTTTCTTCATTGGCGTTTAAAAACGTTCAAAAACATAAGTTGTTTAACTTTGTAGTTGTTAACCGTTGAAATGGAAAAAACTGCTTATTTTTTAACGTTAAAACGTACGTTTAAAAAGCGTACTTGTAAAAGCCTTTTCTAAAAAGTCTTGTAGAAAAACGTTTAAGCGCATAGACCAACGCTTACGCTTAAAATGAAAAGCGTGCTTATGCGCTTATTTTAAAAAGCAGACTTTTTAAGTACTTTTCGTTTAAACGCCCACCTCTAGATCTTGTTGAGTACGATGAGAATCAAAAGTGGGACAACACAAAAACGAAAATTACACATTTGCATCACATGCATATGTAAAAAATAAAATAATCTCAGTACAGAGTACTAAAAACTGACCTCAAAAGTCATTCATCAGTCATTCGTTCCCTAGTTTGCCACCCTTAGAGGTAGAATATTTTATTCAAATTTCAATGGGTCTGCTACTACTACAACTACGTACTACTCTCTTTCCAACAAAAAAGGCTTATCAAAATCGGGTCTAACAGCCGCTTTCTATATTCGATACTGAACCTAAGATTGTTTTCAATCCAGATTTTATTCGATCCATCGATCGCTGCCGGATCTCTATTTCAATATGTCTATCTCGGTTCGAGCGCCCTTTAACTTCAACTTCAACTTTTGTATCTATGGCTCCGTCGTTTTGCGCGACGATTTCGCCAACGTCAGGGTTGAAAGACATGTAGAGCGGTGGTGAGATAGATTGCCGGTTATCGAGCGCCCTTAAAAAAAAGGGATCGGTCGTAAATTTACTCCCTCTCTGACGTTTATTTCCACGCAATCGGAATAAGAGTTCATTACATGAATTTGTGAATAAAATGGTGGTTATGTTTCCAAGATTAATTTATTCATACACGTGATTGCTTTTATCAAAAATATAAATTAATTGCAAACGTTCAAGTAAAAAATATTTAAATCGTAAGTACGTCAAGAATGACGTGAATTTTTGAGGAACGGAACGCGGCGGCGAAATGTCAGTGTCAATTTATGTTTTGTTGATGTTTGTTCGTATTTGTGACGCGATAAATAATCTAAATTATAAAAATGGAATCCGAAACTGTAAGTAAACGTTATTCATTTCGTTATTGTTACTCAATAACATTCACTTCACGTACATACTGTCAAGTGTATCAAAGGAGTTCATTGAATATTTCAAATAAAGTATGCGTGGGACGCAACGTTTCGCGCCTTTCTTGTATAAATTCAATTAATTTTTATTTGTTTGCAGAATAAAAACAAAGGTCTGTCGAAAGAAGAGACGAAAGGGCTACTTTCATTGATTGAGGGGAGCAAAATAATAAATAATAAAAAAACCAACGCCACCAGTAATAAAATGAAGGTTGAAGAATGGAGTAGAATTGCAGACATTTTCAACGCCAGTATGGGAATCTGTCGCCGTACTCCACAACAGCTTCGTCTTAAGTGGGAAAACTTAAAGAAAAATTCACGTAAGCGTACTACTGACATACGAATGGCACGGATCAAGGTAAACAGTTTGTAATTGAAAAATAATTATAGTCGAAATCATTCAAGAATACAGAGCCTCAAATCCATTAGAACCTCAATGTAGGATCTTACTTGGCATTTTATTGTATAGTCCAATCTAATTGACTGTAATGTAAGGTAATAAATGAAGAGTTAATCTAATGAAGCAGAAAAATAAAAGTCCTATTTATGTTTTAGACTGGAGGTGGGCCACGAGGCTACTTTCTACCAGATGAAATCCTAGACAGGGTGGCAGCATTGCTACGTAGTACTGGGGAGGGTCTCAGTGTTGAGTTTGGTGGTGATGCTGAGCCCCAATCGTTTGGTGATAGTGACACTGATGGGAAAATATTTGCAGTGCCAGTTTTGGCTAACACATCCCCAGTACCAATGCTGTTGATTGACAGCCCTTTGCCTGTGGACAATCCTCCATCCATGTCTGCAGATTGTTTAAGTTACAACATAGTAACGACTACACCCACTGGCAATAAAATGCCAATTAATGACACAGGGAATGGGTTATTTAAGCCAGGCAATACTACTACCTTCAATAATAAACAACATTTTAAATCAAGTGGTAATTTACTATTATACTGTTTTTGTTAAGTTTATTTCTATATTTTCTTATTTTATATAGCTATGTATTTTTGTTGCACAGGTGCTAAACGGAAGCTACTAAGGCCAGATGATGGGCGTCTTGCTAGAAATATGGCTATGGCAAAATATTTTGATACTAAGAGTAAAGTATTAGAAACTCAGAATGAAAATATTAAGCTTTTAAATCAGAAAATAATATTAGACCAGAGGAGCCGCCGGCGATTTCGTACACACCAAAGAGTTAACGCCATTATATATCAATATAAAATGTAGAAATAATCACATGATATTGATTTGAATTTTTTAAATTTTCATTTTCAAATTAATAATATTTTTAGTTGTCAAAGAGGTGTATTTTAATTAGTATTTGTAAATTACCAACTTAATAATTTTTAAATGAGCATACCTGTGCTACATTTGCACTATCCTGTAATGTTATTATTGTACTACTATCTACTACTACTATCTATAACTATCATTAACTGAATTATATTTTTTTTAATGCGTCATTGGTGCCTTATACTAAATAAAGAAATATATTTGAATTAATGCCAAAGACTTAACGACATTATATATCAATATAAAATAATCTCATAATTACTTTACCTTTAAAAAAAATTTTTATTCTCAAAATCCAAAGTTGACCTTTTTGTATAGATATAAGCTATATTTCATTGACTTACAAATAAATGGACGACGGGTCTAATACAAAAACCACGAAAAAAATGTCCCAAGTCAACCTATTCGAAATTTAAATTGTAATGTCATCGCAGTATCGCGCTGTCAGTCGAACAAATGAAGACCAAGGCGGAGTTTGGCGCTCTGTATACGATTTTAGCGCCTTACAAGTGCGGACAGTTTTTAGCGCGGACCCGACGTCCATATAATTGTAAGTCAATGCTATATTTGTTAACATTTTTAGTTGTCAAAGTCATCTTTGATGACTTTGACAACTAAAAATGTTAAAAGTCAACTAAACATGTTAAAAATGCTGAAAGTCATCTTAAAATACTCATGTATTTTAAGTAGTATTTGTTAGTTACCATCTTAATAATTTTTATATGTGCATACCTGTGTCACATTCGCACTATCCTGTTATTATTGTAAACTAGTAATAATTGAATTATATTTTTTTAAAGTCTCTGGTGCCTTATACTAAATAAATAAAAGTATTTGATTTAAAAGGTACTTTGCTTTTTTCTACAAATTATTTCTATTTTTCATAGTACAGGGTCAAGAGCATGTCAAGTTTGACACTAAAGGTTTAAAAGTAACTCTATGCCACTTGCAATAAGAACGGTCCAAATTGTCAAGCTTCATGTGCTCTTGACTGTACCTACACTAGTAAAGGTACTGTATTTAAAATGAAACAATAGTTATAAGTAGAAAAATTGAAACTTATATTGAATAATACCTATACATACAACTTATCCTAAATACTAAAATTATAATAATATTTATATTATACAGTAATAACTACTAATAACAGCAACTCCTTAAAAATAATTTAAAATGACCTCTTGCCTGCTTCTGTCATTAATAGTGTGCACTACAGTACTTTCTGATGTCGCTTCATTGATAACTTCTGTTTCGTCTTCTGACAGTTGCACCTCAGGGGGTACTAGCTGAATGTTATTATTTTTGCAGATGTTATGTAGTACTGCTGTGGACAGCCACAGCAGTACTACACAACAATCATAGGATTACGCTTTGTATGTTACTTAATGATAAGCGCATAGTCAGTGCTATAACTGGAAAGCAGCGTTTCCAGACACCAAAAGTCCTTTACAAACATAAAAAATAGTTGTTTATAAAAAACTACTATTATGTCTTGAACCTATGAAATAATAATACAGGGTGCTTTCACCTTTCAATTGTATTTCTAGTTTTTATGTGTGCCTCATTATATCTAATTTCTTGACTAGTTGATGGGTTTAATAGGGGTGTGAGTAAGTATGGGCGGTTTGGATAGGCACTATCCCCAAGTAACCACAAATTTCCTAAAATTCCATCTTCACATGAAGCTGTAATAATTAATATTAACATAAGTAACTCACATTACTAGTGCTTCAGTTTTAGTTAGATTTGTTACTACCTCTTAAATGAGAATTATTAAAAATTGTTGCATCATGGGACGAACCAGGCCTCCGAGCAACAACATTTAGTAATTTCAGGTCTGCATCACAAACAGCTTGGACATTAAGGGAAAAGTATCCCTTTCTGTTTCGGAATTCTTCCCCTATTGTTGAACCTGAAACAAAATTAACTGATCATTGTAATTCATAATGTATGTACAAAAATAAAACAATTACTGACACA